CCACCTCCAGTGTGACCTTCACAATCCTCTCTGCCTCTCTCCAGCTGCAAAGGAGGGTAACTGTAGCTAATCTGTGGATGCTATCATAAGGATCAGCGAATTACAGCTGTCGAGGGCTTCTTAACCTTCACACGCCGGGCAAGTGTAAATCAAAGGTTTCTCATCTCTATTTTTATCGTCTCCCCGCCACATCCCCTGTGGTGTGGGCTCTGAGTGCCTCCCAGGGGCCACACGGGCCTCCGGTTCCTGTGGGATGTGCATGGCTTCTAATCAACAGCTCCCCTTCCCTCCCTTCCCCTCCAGCCACGCTCCCCACCCCATGTGCACATGCATGCCCTCACTCACACACATGTACTCATGCATGAGTGACACACGCACATGTACACAGACACACACACGTGAGCACACACCCATGAGTGCATGCAGTGCTGCCCTCACCATCTGACTCTCACACGCTCATGCACACACCCACACGCCCACACTGTCTTCCTCCCATCCCCACTGGAAGGAGGCCAGCGTGGGCTCATCGAAGTGAAGCCCCCAGAACCCCAGGCCGGCACCCGTCCCCTCTGACTCCCAGTGGACTTCTGCACTTCCTGGCTCCACCCAGCCTGAAGGCATGTGGGGCATCCTGAGTCCCAGGCATGGTGCTAATTGTCACTGAATCTGTACGTGGCTCCTGTCTCCAGCGAGAGCCATTTGTGCCAGGGCTCCACAGTGAGCCCAGTTAAGCATCCCTTGAAGCTGCGGGGTGTCATTGGTACACTCGCCACTGAACAGTTCGAGGGCACAGACGGGTGAGTGAGGCATCGTTTGATTTCAGAAATTTCACTTACTGTCAAGTCTTTAGCTGTTTGGTTGCGTAAAGGGGATGGGGCTGCTCGGAAAGTCTAGGGTTGGCAGCAGCATGGCCGACGGGTAGAAGTGAAGGCAATTGCACTGGTCACTCGGGCAGGTGCAGCGAGGTTCAGGGAACATTCTGGAAGCTGCAGCGTGCTGGTCATCCTGAGCTGGGGAGTCTGGGAGAGGTCAGGGAGGCCGTGCTGGCCTTTGTCACCAGCGAGGAGCTGGCCTGGCTCCAAGTCTTGAGCCTGTGTGTTGCTGCAATCAATCCCAGGGTCATTTTGTTTCTGTGCTTTTACCAATAATACCTGCTTATTACTTAAAAATCTCAAGAAATACGTAAATTCATGAGCAAGAAGGGTAACATCACAGCAAGTCCCAGCACCCAAGGTAAACAAGGTGAACGTTTTAGGAAACATCTTTTTTGAGGCACTGTTTTGCATTAACACCCACACACGCATTTTTAAATTGACCTTTTGTGTGTGGTGGTGGGGGGGGTCATCTGTGTTCTTTGTCTCTGCCTCTTCCCCTGCCACTGCTACCACCTGGAATGAAAGTAACCAAGTAAAACAAACTCAGCCAAGCAGCTGGGGTTCATCTCCCCAGCCTCTCCACAACACATGCAAACACATGCAGGTGTCTCCAAATGTGGGGTCGCCTCAGTTCTCCGTGGCATCTTTCCTTTCCACACACTAGAAATTCTACTTACTCTCACAGGTAAAGACTCAGCATGTTCTTTTCTAATAGCTGCATAATACTTTAAAGGAATTTTAGTGCACAGATTGCTTCAGCAGTTCCCTAACTGTTGAGAAGTTGCATTACTGATTTTTTTTTTTTTTGGAGGTTTCTGTTTGTTTTACTGCTACAACTATTGCTGTAGTAACATTCTTGTATCTATTCCCACCTAGCGAAGTTTTACTAAGCTGAAAGATACAGAATGGAATTGTGAAGTCAAAAGTATGTGTATTTTTCACTTTTAACAGGCTCAAAAAGATTTACTTCGGGCTGGAGTGTGGCTGGTGTTACAGTGCTTGCCTAACACACACAAGGCCCTGGGTTCAATCCCTAGCGCTGCAAAAATGAAAAGTAAATAAAGGAAAGATTGCTTTCTGAAAAGTTGGTGGTGTGTTTCGTATTCTATTTGCTTGATAAATATTTAACACACACTCTGAGCCATGTACTGCTCCAGCCATTCAGATTCAACAACACAAAGATCCCACTTCTCACAGAGTTGGGTGAAACCAAGTCAAAATCCTGAAAGACGACACTGGTCTATGTGAAATATGTGCCAACAATTTTCCCTTGCTTCAGCACGGATGACTGGCATTTTATTCCATTTACCTATTTATTTTATTAGTCTGATGTGATCTGATATATTTTATTACCTTAATTCATATTTTGCACTCAGTAAATAATATTTTTCATGCATTCGTGTTGCCATTTGGATTTCTGTTGCAGGAACTCCCTATTTATAATTTTTATGTCTTTTTCTGTTGAGTGGATTGGTGTTATGCCATACACCTGGCCAATTTTCATGAGTTCTGAACGTATTGTAAATAGACATTTTCCTGCTTTGGGCTTTGCAAAATCAATCTACATCTATTACTTGTCCACTTATTTGATGAGTTTCTTTTGCCAGACAATAGTTCAATGCTTATAAGTTTGTGCACATCTTGTTCCCTCTGAGAGTCTAGCAATTCCATTTTTGCTAGTAGTTGTCTCCAAATTTGTTTGATAGCTCTTTTCTTCTAATAAATTAAAAAAGCTACATACAGCAGAACCTCAGTTCATGAACAACTTGTTCGTGAACAACTCGGTTTGCAAACAGAAACATTTGGCAAAATCTCGCTTGCTCTTGCAAACTCCACAGTGGCTGATGAACAGGAGTGCAGCCCTCTTCCACAGAATCCAGGAACAAATTCAGTTCATGAACTGAGGCACCACCATATTTGAAGTATACATGGATTTTTTTCCAAGTTGGGGATGAAACCTAGGTCCTTCCGCATGCTAAGCAAGTGCTTTATTCCTAAGCAATATTTTCAGCTCTATTTTTTAAATGTGTTGTGAAGTAAGGGTTCAATTTCCCGATAGTATTTATTAAAGCAAGCCATCAATTTTCAAGTGAATTGAAATAGCATTTTTTCATGTATGCAGCTCTCCTATTTATCAGTGTCAGTTTGCTTATTTATTACTCGGCTCCCCCAGTTCTATGTCTATTTTCATGCTAGTTTTATGCTGTTTTAACTATAGTTTTCTCTTTTATAACTTTTTTTTTTTTTTTTTTTTTTTTTGGTACTGGGGATCGAATTCACAACCTCATGCTTGCCAGGCAGGCACTTAGGCCGCTGAGCTAAACCCCCGGCTCTTTTTCGTAATTTTAAAGCTAGGGTTAAGACTTTATTTGGTCAGGTAAAGTTTCAGATATTCTATCCAATTAAAAATTTTAAATTATATTCTAAAGTACATTCAATTTATGTTAGAGCAAGAAAGAAGTCTTAAGAAAGAGAACAGATTAAAATAGTGTATAAAACTCAATGGCCATGAATGGGTAAACAGAAGAAATGGCATATCTCTTCACATCATCAAAATGGCACAGGAAGGAGGAAAATTAGGAATAGGCTAGTTCCTAGAGGAGAAACTGGAAATGTGTTAAAGACCTGCTATGTCAGATGGCCCCAGAAACAGATGACCTAACACTGTGTTCTACCCAGCCTTTAAGGAGCATATAATCCTGATATTATTAAACTACTCACAGTTACAGAATTAAGGTGACGAGCTCCCCAGAACACCTTAACACTAATTCCTCACACCCAAATCCCACTTGGGAATGGAGATTCTTGTTCTAATAAGAAATTAGTACGTAGGCCCATTGCTGAGTCAAAGAGACTGATCAGGTAAACCTGCTCTCTAAGCCTCCATGTCTACAAATGATGTACCAGAAAATTTACCAGCACAGTCTCTGCATCCACAAACTAAAGAAAAAAAAATGACCCCATCAATAGGTAACAAATAAGCACCTGTTAAAATTCAGCAGCTATTTCTCATACAAACCTGGAACTCATGTCCAAACTTCTAAAATGAAAGATAATGCTAGTCTGAAATGACGGAAAGAAACATTAAATATGAACAGTACCCTACTATGGTTTAACATGTAAAGTGTGTGCGCACTGCTGGACTAGTTACCGCGGCTGTCTGCCGTCTACTCGAAGCTGGTGTAGTCTTTTATCAAGATGAGTTAGGAGAGTGACTATGTGAGGAATATGCTTTCAACTCCTTGAAGAAATAAACACAAGGCAACGCTGGAAGGAAGCCAGGCTTTACTGCTTGTATCACTAAAAGCCAAAACGCGCAATAGCACGTGCATCATGAAGCGGCATCAGCTGTAAGATGGTCCCGGGTTCCAGACATATTGAAAGTAGAAAGAGGTGAATTGGTGAGATACAGTATCTGTACCCAAAGGGTAAATGAAAACCTCAATCTCAGACCGGCCTGAGCACAACGTGTGGTGCTCTCGGGTTGGTCTGGACACCAGGGCCAGTGTGGCACTGGCTATGCGGTGGCCATGGACAGGCAGCTTGGCGGTGTACACCACCCCAGCAGTGGGCTTCGCATGAGCGTGGGGAGGACGATGGTGCTGCTGTGGGTGGTGTGGTCTCTGTATCCTGCGTGCTGATCCTCTACCCAGGAACAAACACAACCATACTTTTCTCACTCTGAATAAGACTCAGTTTGGCAGAGAAGCAGTGGGTGCCCCTAGCTGTTCATGTTGTGTCTGTTGGTCTGTCCTGTGTGTAAGGCATCTCAGCTGAAGAACCTGCTAGAACCTCTCACTGTTCTGACATAGCCTCATCATCTTCAAAGGAGTCTATAGCCCAGGGAAGAGATGTGACTTCCCTAGCTGCCCACCTACCCAGGGGCAAAATGAGACCCTGGCCCAGGCCATCCGACTCAGGAACACAGCAAGACCATCCTGCCTGGGGTTTTTGTCTCCAGAGGTTGGAGATCCACCCCAGAAGTTTCTAGCCCTTGTGTCAGGCCCAATGATTTCTGTGTCCAAAACACAGTCATTTCTCCTCTCTGAGCCACATAAGAGTTAGAGACACCAGCTCAGTCCACCAGCCTCTGCTAACCACACTCTTTCTCCTTCTCTTTGGAAGGGGCCAAGGGCTCCCCACTGCAACTGAGGACCCAAGGCCTCGTCCCAGGTCTGCCGTGTGCTGTCCCGCGGGATGGGACTGCTAAGCAGCAAGAGGCAGGTCCCCGAGAAGGGCAAGGCCTGGAGCCCTGTGAAGGCTGGTTCCCAGAGCCAGGCTCCCCCACCGCTGCCACCCCTGGTGAGTGAGTGGTTTTTGGGGGGCTGACATGGGTGGGAGAGAGCTGGCACATGGGGGCCCCGGCCCAGGCCCTCTGCAGCATTTCCAAAAACCTCTGTTTAAGATGACTGAGTCCCCTTTTGGTTTGGGCAGTGGGACTCATGCCTGTACCCCTGTTCTTCTCTGCCAACCATCATTGGCATATCCAAGTAGGCATCACCATACTCTAATGGGGACCCACTGGGGGCAGAGATTGTAGATCCCCGCTCCTGCCTTACTGCGCTGAGCCCCAAGTTAGCACAGAGCCCAACAGAATGAGAGGATTGGTGAGTAAATGGATGGCCCAGCCAGCCAACATAGAAGGTCGAGGAATTTCCTGCAAGTTATGGGCTAATCAGTGGTCATTTTAATTTTGCAAAATAGGTACTAATTATGGAAAAATCATAATGCTTCCCATTCCACCTCCCAGGGTACCTGGAGTCAGCTCTTCAAGCGCTCCTATCCTACATTTCCACACATCCTTTATGTTATGGATTCATGTTTTTTGAAGAACCATAGCATGCACACCACTTGCAAAAGTCTGCTTCAAAACTGGACCCAGTAACTATGAAATCTAAGAAAGGAACAAGTCAAGTTAAAAGACCATACAATGCACGGCCCCCTCCCATCCTCAGAGATACAAAGAGATTCATTCTTTAGAAGCTCAGTGCCTGCCTCCATGGGCCCCTCCACCCCAGACCCCCCAGCTCAGGTCTGCTTTCATTCTTGGCTTTTTTATAGCATCGCACACACACTCACGCTGTGGAGCTTCATCATTCGCGTTGTGAGCTTTAACTCAACTGATTCCGACAGCATGGCCCTGAGACAAGGGCTGAGTCCAGCGTGTGTTTGTGCAGTTCACTCACGTGTGCTTGTCTAAAACTCCGGCTCTTTCATTCTGTGGCCTGGCTGTGCTGCAATCTGTCTGCTTCTGCCGTGGGTCAGGTTTATCCCGTGTTTTAAAAAATGTTTTGTGCATTGTTATTACTGTGATTGCTAGGTGTGTGCGTACTATTTCCTGGACACATGCAGAAGTTTATTCACGTCATCTACATCTAGGAATATATTTGTTGAGTTGTAGGAGCTTCTGCAGCCAGCCCTGGCCACGCTACAGGCTGTAGAACTAATACGCAGTGTGTGTCTTTCTGCCCAAGGTCGTCTTTAACCACCTTCCCCCTCCACCTCCTAATGAACACCCAGACCAAGGTAAGAAGGGGACACACACCCTCTCCCCAGGGGCCCAGCTCTGTGGAGTTAGACAGGGATGGTCCGGGTGGGTCCCTCAAAGCTGGAGAGCAGTACTGAGGGCTGACTTGGCTGGCTTTGTCCCTGGCTTCTCCATCCCTCGGATCTCTCCAGGAACCATGCACGAGTCCTGTAGTGTGCCTGAGCCAGTGAGATTAAAGTCAAGACTTTATAATCTGGAAACCAAAACCAAGAAAAGAGTCCCAGGAAGGATAGGCGGAATCACTCAGCCCCAGGATTCAGGGCTCCTCTGTTCCACGGGTAGGGCACTGCAGAGTCCCGCCTCCCCAGCCAGCCATCCTCCCAGTCCCCAGATTCCAGTTCCGCCAGGGTGGGCAGGATGGTGTTGGTGACATAGCTCATGGTCACAGCCATCCTGTGCCCAGGGCTCAGACCTCAGCAGGCTTCCAAGGTGGGCCCTGGCTCAGAGCCAGCTGGACAGCATGCCTGCCATCACACCTGCATCGTGCCAAGAAGGGCGCAGAGCATGTAGCCCTCTCTGTGTCCAGGATAGGGAAGGTGTGCCATGAGGAACCCATGGCTCCTCCACCCGAGGCAGCCCCATGGGCAGAGCACCGGAGCTGCTCACGCCCTCTCCTACCAAAGAGGGACAGTCACATCTTCCAAGAGGAAGTGCTGGGCAGGGCATGAGCGACTGCCTGGCATGGGAACCTGAGTCTTAGCACCACAGGAAACATGGTCATTGGTGATGTTTTCACTGCTCTTTCCTAGTGAGGGACGGGACAGGCCCAGAGTCGCCCTCTCAGGAGTAACAGCACCGAGTCTACTCTGGGAGCTATGCACTCTCTGGAGACCTCAGCAGTGGGATGGACCTCAGTGGGGCTGTGGCCACCAGCGGTGTGAAGAGTCTGGGCTATGGCTGCCTGGTGCCAAGGTCGCCCCCTCTGAGGGCTGGCGGGGGAGAGGAGAGGACAGAGAGGGGACTGTGCCTCAGAGGCTGGGGCAGGTGAGACAGGGTGAGACAGCAGCCAGCGTGGTCCCCAGACTCTGCTGTCCCTAACCCTCCTGGTGGCCAGAAGGTGGCTCCTGTACGTGTCATCCCAGTCCCTGTCACATCTCCAAGGCTGCAGCGGCAGCATCTCTGCCTTGTCCTTTCCAGAGGACCATTACGTGGTGGCCCTGTACGACTACGCTGCTGTGAACGACCGGGACCTGCAAATGTGCAAGGGGGAGAAGCTGCAGGTCTTGAAGGAGTGAGTTTCTGGGTGTCCTCCCTACGGGGTCCCCCACGTCCTCAGCAGGTCACCGGCCTTGTTTTAAACTTGACCCAGCTGCCATTCCCTCCAAAGTCTCCCTGGAGAGGTGATTCCCGTGCATGACATTCTCTTTGCTCCCCCAAAACCCCTCCAGCATCACCTACTCTGCGCTCCTTGGGGGTGGTCCTCCCTTGAGAGCTCTGAACTCTGTGTACACACACTCGTGTCCCTCCAAGACCTGTGCCACCTGGATCACTGTGCCAGTGTCTCCTTCTGTATTTTTCTCAGAGACCCCGCAGCCCTTGCTCTCTGAGAGCTGTGGCCCACTCTTCCCACGGAGCCAAGGGCCTGACTGCGCCCCTGCGACTCCACCATGGCTTCAGGCGGAACATACGAAGGCTCTGGCTCTTCCTGGGTCCCCCCCCCCCGCCTTTGTCACAGCCCCCAGTCTGTTTGCCCAGGCCAGCCTCAGGTCACTCTCTGAAGTCCCATTTGGCAGCAGTGCATCTGGACACATTCTTCCCTTTTTTCCCTGGGCTCTGTCCCACTGGCCAACCGGCCCCTCTGTTAGTGATCGCAGGCCTGGGGCAGCCCAGGGAGGCCAGGGCCCAGTCTCCTATGCCTGTCTCCCTCCCCCTCAGGACTGGGGACTGGTGGTTGGCCAAATCACTCATCACCGGAAGAGAGGGCTACGTGCCCAGCAACTTCGTGGCCCCTGTGGAGACCCTGGAAGTGGAAAAGTAGGTGGACAAACAGAGGCCCGCTTAAGCCAAGGGGCGGCCACTGCCTCTGCCCTGCAGGCTGCTATGTGGTGGGGGCCTTGAGACTCCAGCAGGGAACCAGAGAGGGGTGGGGGTTGAAGTGCTGGAAAGGGGTCACCCCTGGTTCCAGGCGACGTCTGTGCCACTGTGTGATGCCAAGGACACTGCTCTTCTCATAGCAACAATAGTGGCCCTTTGACGGCTCCCTTGACAGACCTACCTCCGGGGGCCAGTGGCCTCCAGAGCTCACAGACAGGCCTGGGGCACCCCTCACAGCCTCCAAGGATGGGACCCAGGGTCAGAGGGATTCTCAGGTCCAGCTTTCCAGCACCCCTATGGCCACCTTCGCACCCCCAAGGAAGAGTTGCCTTGACCAGGCCAGAGAAGCCCATGCATTCGAGCCAAGGCGAGGAGCATGCAGCCCACAGTAGCTCTGTGCAAGGCTGGGAAATGTGTCCCAAGGGGTAGAACTGGGCTCCTCCACCATACCTGGACCCTGGGTGCCTCCACACTGCAACACTCATGCTGCGAGGGCATGGAGCAGGGACCCAGGAGCCCCAGCATCTCCGTCACTGGACAGTGGCTGGAGGCAGCTGTGGCACTGGGGAGGTGGCAGGCTGGGTCCACCCTGGCAGAACAGGATTAACAGAGGTCACCCCAGCAATGGCCCCTTTCAGGAAACCACACGTTCAGGCACCAATAGGAAGTGGGAAGGGATGGAGACAGGAGGGGAGGAGCAGTGGTGCCAGGCTGGCCTGGGGACAGGAGTGTTTCCTTGCTTGGGGGCCTAGGGACAGCTGAGGACTGCTGCGGGCAGCCTGGCTGCCCCTGGAGCCTCACTGCCTGTGCTGTTTTCCAGGTGGTTCTTCAGGTCCATCAGCCGGAAGGAGGCCGAACGGCAGCTGCTGGCCCCGCTGAACAAGGTCGGCTCCTTCCTCATCAGAGAAAGTGAGACCACCAAAGGTGAGAAGCCTGGCTGGCGCCCACCTGCCCACAGTTCCTAGGGGAGTGCTTGGCAGCTCCCCCCCCACCCCCCAGCTGCCTCTGCTGCTGGGTCCCCCTCTGGTTCTAGGGCCATCCACATTGTGACTGTCTAGTCACTCAGGCTGGACACTTCTCCCAGGTCTCAGAGGTAGTGAGACCCCACAGCACCCAGGCTGCATGGCAAGAACCAGCTGATGGGCACCTAGGGGGGCTTTGAGTCACAGGATTTGGGAGAAAGGAGCCTTACAGGTCACCTGAGCCAGAGGCTGGTGGGTGACATGAGTGTGGGAAGTGGCCTGGGCCCACGTGTGAGAAGGGGTGGCAATTCGGAGAACTGTGGAGCCCGTGCCCAGCTCCCAAGACTCAGGGACTCACTCAACAAACGTTGCTACATTTCTCTCTTTCCTTGGCGCTTAGCTAAGCAGCACAACTTTTTCATGTCCTTTCAGCTGTAAAATAAAAAACACTCATCAAGCATGTGTTAATTATGAATGCGTAACTGTATGAGGCCCGTGGTAGAAAATGTGTGAATGCCCAAATTAAAAACAAATCTATTACAGTAGAAGGCACAGCGCCATGGATTCCCCTCAGGATTCTCCCCTGCACTCTGAGTGTACTCATGCCACAGTTCTTGCCGCTTTCTGAAGCAGCTCTGGCGTCTTCTTTCTTGAGTGTCTTTAGTGGCGCTGTCCTGGCTGCATCTGTGTCCTGAACTGATTCGGTGCATTCACTCTATGTGGTCACTTTGATTTCAGGAAAGATCCAGAAGCTGCCATGCAGGGATAGATCTAGGGAATGAGATGGATACAGACACACACCATAGTGTCTTTATTTGATTAGGAATTGCTCCAAAAAGGAGATCAACTCAGGTGACCCACAAGTAGGGCAAACGTTTAAACTTAAAAACTGAACCACAGTAAAAGGCTGCCATTAATTCCCCTCAGGGCACTTAAAACACTCTCCCTCACTTTGAACGTATTTATCCAGTTGGTCTTGGCAGTGGGTCTGTTAGTGGTGGAAAGAATTTAAAAATTTATTTACTGTATTTTTTAGTCTCTCTTTGTAAATCAAGGAGAACTAGGAAGTGAGCCCATATTTAGCCATGACAGAGAGACTTGTGGACCCTCCTCCTCTTCCTCCTCTTCATCCTGGACCCTCCCTGACCAACCCACCCCCTGAGAGGTGATCCTTCCTCCTTCTCCTGAATGGGGTCATCCCCCGTCCCTGTTTGTCTGCTTCTGAGCTTGATACAAATGCAATCTCACTATATGAGATTCTGTATTGGCCAGCAAGGGCTACCGTCACAAGGACCACTAACCAGGTGCCATCAGCAACAGAGGTGATGTCCTACGGGGTCAGGCTCCGGCAGAGCTGGGTCCTGCTGAACTCTGTCTTCTTGGCTTGGTGCCTCCTTCTCCCTCTCATGTACTCCCATGGTTACCCTCTGTGTGTCTGTGTGTCCTCTTCCTGTAAAAATCCGTTCCTCTGCGTCAGAGCCACCCTGATCTCACTCTGCCCCAGTCACCTCTGTAACAACTCTGTTTTCAAACACAGTCAGGGACCAGGGCTTGGGGCAGCAGCCTGCGAATTTGGGGAATGGAGAGCCCAGTTTACCCCATAAAAGATGCACCCATGAGTTGGGAATGGCGACAGTTCAAGACATTGCTGCACAGAACCGAACACAACTGCCCCAATGCCTGTCTAGCCACGCCGACGTGGGGGACAATGGGGTCCAGAGTGAAGCTACTGAGAAGGAGCTGCTCTGAGCCTTACCCTGTGTGTGCCCTGGTACACCCTGGCCCCTGTGAGACACTAAGCCAGTGCCGATCTGACAGCTGAAGAAACTGAGCCAGAGATAGGAAGTGACGTGTCTGAGGCCGAGAGCATCACGGCCTAGAGTGTCAGTGGCCAGTCATGGGAGAGGTTCAGAATCTCTACCAGCTTTGGACTGTGTGGGCCTGGGTGAGCAAGGGCCTCCCCAAGGGCCTCCCCAGGCCCTGTGTCTAGTCTTCATCCATCAGGAGGGGACCTGCTTCAGCTTCATGGAGAGGAAATGGTAACGGGGACATTGAGGGGGAGGGGGAGACTGAGTGACCGGAACATAAGTTGGCTTCCCTGTGGAGGAGCCAACTCTCAGAGAGGCTCTGTGTAACCCAGAACAGCCTTCAGAGCAGCAGGACTCCCTCATGGCCAGGGCCAGGCTGGGCAGGGGTGCCCAGGAAGCTGGGGTGCTCTGTGCAGAATTTCCTGAAAGGCACCAGCAGCCGCGTTGCACCTTACACACACCCCTGCATGTACGGCCACATCTGCGTTTTAGGTACAGTTAGGACACTGCCATTGCCCTTGTCTTGGCAGAGCCAACCCGTAGTTCCAACCATTGCCCGAAGAGCTAGTACACTTTCCTCCATGTCCTCAACTCTGCCCTGCACTCGGGAGTTAGCTACCATACCGCTTCTCCCCCCCCCCCCAAACGCCACCTGAACTATGGCTTGCTGCTAAGGTGCCCCTAAGGGGCCACGGATATCTCCTGTCCTTGCTCATTCCAGAAAGGGGTCCATGCCAGGAACCAGCCTGATAAATCTGGGGGTGCAGATGGTACAAGTACTGTCACAAACTGCACACACACATGCACACGCGCACATACCCACACATAGCACATGCGCGCACACACACACACACACACACACACACATACACACGTGCGCGCGCGCGCGCGCACCTGCCTATGCACATTGCTCTCTGCAGTTCCGTCTGCGTCCCAAAGCCACAGCCCAGGACACCAGACAGGCAAAGAAGCTGCTGCCCCAGAGGCCCCCAGGGCTTCTGTTTATTGATGTGTTTCCCAGTTCAGAGATAGGGGGATCCTCCCAGGCTAGGGCATCTGAATTAGGGCCACATGCTTGGGGCAGCCCGGGCACATGGATGAAGTGTCCTCACTTCTTTGAACCCGAAGCCAGCAGGACAAGGAAGCCAGGGATGGGACCTCAGAGGAAGCCACGAGGCTTGGGCTGCAGCTGCCCCTCCCACCCCGTGGAGGGGGGCCAGGCTCCCCTACCTGCTTCGAGGCACTCACACACCATGCAGTAGGGAAGGAAAGGACTGTGAGAACCCGGGGTTCGCACAATGATGCCCCCACAGTAAGAGCAGGGTGAGCAAGCCCTCAAGAATAAGATCCTCGGAGCTGGCAGCCACTGCTGCATCAAAATTTTTTTTCTTGTCTTTTTCCTTTTTATCGGTACCAGTACTGGGGATTGAACTCATGACTGCTTGCTTGCAAGGCAGGCACTTATGCCGCTGAGCTAAATCCCCAGCCCCACCAAGATGGGGCGGGATGGGAAATAGCCTGCAGCGCTGGGCTTGGGGCTGGGCTTGGGGTCCCCCAGCAAGGTGAGGCACTCTGTCCCTTGGCGTCCTTCTGCAAGTGGGTAGAGATCATGCAGGCAGGAAAAGATAGAGGGCAGCAGGTCTGTGGCTCTGTGCTCAGGCCAGGATGGGAAAAGCAAGCGTCCCTCCACCAAGAAAGCGTCGTCCAAGCCTGACCCCTGGCGGACAAGGGTGGAACCGCTCCTGGCAGGTGGGCCCAGGGCAGCTGGGGAGGGGTCGCCAACCTTTACAGCCAGCAAAGTGAACAAAACCCTGAGGCCAACAGCGACCCCGAATTTCCATGACCAATGGCGGTGGGTGGCCAGGCCCCAGAGAGTCCCAAAGAACTGTGCCACCTGCTTCTGGTCCCTAGATGCACTTGGAGGAGTTAGGGGCCAAGCACAGTCAGGTGGCACCAAGTTGGGGGGGTCGCAGTCCCAGGAAAGTGGGCGTAAGATGCAAGAAAGGGAACTTACCTGGATGTGGCAAAAATGGAGCCCAACATTTGGGGAGCCTTATTCCAGAGCCCAGATGATGCTGCCTGTTGACCACTGACATCTCCTGTGTCCCTCTAGGGTCCTTCTCCCTGTCTGTGAAGGATGTCACCGCCCAAGGGGACATGGTCAAGCACTATAAGATCCGATCCCTGGATGAAGGGGGTTACTACATCTCCCCCCGGACCACCTTCCCCTCCCTCCAGGCCCTGGTGCAGCACTATACCAGTAAGAGGGGTGTCAGTGGCGGGGTTTAGTCCTAGATTGGGGGACTCCAGGGTGGGGATGGAGCCTAAAAGGTCGGCACTTTTCAGCATAAGTCAGATTCGAAGTCAGTGGCCTGACCCTTCTCCTGGCCCATTGTGGGGCCACTGGACAAGGACTTTTGGTCTCCAAGGGAGCAGGTCCGGGCAGCATGCCCTGTTTCATGTAAAATGAACAGATAGGCGTGGTAGTGCACACCTGTAGTCCCAGCACTCTAGGAGGCTGAAGCAGGAGGATCGTGGTGAGTTTAACACCAACCTGGGCAACACAGCAAGATTGTGTCTCAAAACCAAAACAAACAACATAAAAGGTCATGGGTATGCAGGTGTGAGTCAGCCAGGGTGTGAGGGGACACAGTTGGGGACAGCAGGGCTTCCAGGGGAGCTCTGGCTGCCCTGGAGCCCTCCAGCCTCTCTTCTCCTCTATGCAGAAAAAGGAGACGGCTTGTGCCAGAGGCTGACCGCACCCTGTGCGACCATGGCTCCGCAGAACCCCTGGGCCCAGGACGAGTGGGAAATCCCCCGGCAGTCCCTCCGGCTGGTGCGGAAGCTGGGGTCTGGGCAGTTCGGCGAGGTCTGGATGGGTGAGTCGTGGCGTCTGGGTGCCAGGGGCCTGACGCCTGCCTTGAGTTGAGGACCATGGAAGCCTGGAGAGGGAGAGCAGCACGGAGCGCTGCCGGTCCTGTACCCTGGCTGTGCTGGGGAGGACTAGAGCCAGCTAGCCCAGCTGTGTTTTCTCGCCACTTCTGCCTGTGGCCAGGCCGCCCACCAGCGCTCTCAGCTCCAGAGTCTAAACCATGATGTTTGGTTTTGGCCCTGGTTGGTCCATGTCTCTGGGGGGGGCGACTTCAGGGTGGACCCTGGCACTACCTGGAGCTGCCTCTGGCAGGAGCTACAACCAGGTCCCCGCCAAAGTGCTGCCCCCATCCTAGGCACTGTTACCTTTGAATGGGACACCCCCTCTGTGGGCACCCCCCTTGGCTTGTGGGTCAGGGTTCCAAGGAGGCTGAGGCAGGCCTGCACCTCACCCAGGGTACAACCCACGTCTACCATCTGCAGAGCCGTGTCTACCAGCTCCCACCTGTCCCATGAAAGGGACCAGAGCCAGAAGCTCAGGTCGGGCATCTCCAAGCATCTGACGGTTCCTCCTCCTCCCTCCTCCCTCCTCCCTCCTCCCTGTGCAGGTTATTACAAAAATAACGTAAAGGTGGCCATCAAAACCTTGAAAGAGGGAACCATGTCCCCCGAAGCCTTCCTGGGTGAGGCCAATCTGATGAAGACCCTGCAGCACGAGCGGCTGGTCCGTCTGTATGCTGTGGTCACCAAGGAGCCCATCTACATTGTCACCGAGTACATGGCCCGAGGTGGTGCCCAAGGGTCCAGTCTGGGGTGCAGAGGGTCCTAGGCTGTGCCTGCAGTGGGTTGTCCAGGCTTGGGGGTCTCCATAGGGGCTTGATTAGCAACGTGGGACATTTCTGGGGACTGGGGCCAGGAGCCAGCAGGGCAGAATGGCTGTCGCAGCCTGCCCTTCTGGTGGGTATTGTCCATGGGAAAGGGCATGGACAAGGCCAAAACTGGGCATCCAGTGCTGGCTCCAGCTCCAGTTCTGCCCTCCCCTGCCACGGGCCTATTCTAGCTGTGTGAACACCTCCCAGCTCGGAGGCCCACAATACGTCCTCAGGGGCAAGTGGCTTGGCACTGGGCCTTGGCCTTCAACCTCCTTCCCATCCTCCTGGTGTCCCTGGTCACACATTGCTCCCCAAGGAGCCTTTGTGTGACTGTGACACAGAGGGAACTTGTCACACAGAGGGCCGGCATCACAGACTGCTGGGCACTGCACCCCTGTAAACACCTCCCAGCTCGTTGGTCCCTAGGAGAAGCCCCGTTTGTCCCCTGCTGGTCTCTTGCTAGGGCTGGATCCAGCAGCAGAGCCTCTCTGGTGACAAGGGTGGGGGAGCAAGCAGATGCATAGGGGTGGCACAGAGCAGAACCTCACAGCCAGACTGGGGCCCGCTCCCAGTGCCCTGGTGGGGAGACCACAGATGGGTCTCTGCCCCCTGATGGGACACAGCCTGTGGGCTGCCAGCCCCCCTGGGGGGCTCCAGTGGGGGTGGGGAGTGAGCATGGAGGTGGAAGAGCTGAGGGGCATAAGGTGCCCAGCAGAGCAGGTGGCACTGCCTGGTCACCAGAGAGAAGGATGACACTTCCGAGGTGGGGGCAAAGTGCAGCCGCCTTCCTGACGCGCTGGGCGCCCTGTCTCCCAGGGTGCCTGCTGGACTTCCTGAAGACAGACGAAGGCAGCAGGCTGTCACTCCAGAGACTGATAGACATGTCGGCCCAGGTTGGTGCCGGGAGCCTGGGTGGGGAGGGAAGGAGTGAGGGAGGGACGGAGGGAGGGAGGGATGTCCTCCTCTGAGCTGCAGGCTGACCACGCTGCAGAGCAGCTGGTCAGGCCCCAAGCAGTGGTGGCAGAGTGTGGAGCCATGTGGAGGTGGAGGGCGAGGGCTCTCTGGTGTGACCAGGTCTCTCCCTGAGGGCAGAACTGTGAACACACCGCTCCTGTCCCGGGTGATGGGGACATCGAGGACCTGAGCACCCCCAGGGTCCGGGAGCCCTTGTCTCAGTGCAGCCCCAGCCAGGCCCAGCATCAGGCAGCTCGAGCCGTACAACAGTGCCAGGCATTTTTGCCGCGCGCTCCAAAGAGTCCACTTCCACCACCAGGCGCTGGACCTGCAGGCCACCCTGGACCTGCCCTTGACGTCCCTGGGTTCTGTGAGGGGACTGCAGCTGACCAGGGCACATAGCCAAGGGCTCACCCACAGGAAGCACAGCTGGCAGCCTGTGTGTGATTCTGTAACAACTGGAGTGCTTAGCAAGTAGGCTGTGGTCTGTGGTCAGCGTGTGACACACTCACACGCATATGCACACACACACACTCCGACAGCACAGGGACTCCCCACGCCCACGCCTTCCCACCCTGCCAGGCTTGATCTGCCCAGAGTATCAGAGCAGGAAGTGAGGTCACCTCGCTTTTTCCCACTGCGCTGGGCAGACCCCGCCACAGCGATAAGGCTGTCGCCTGTCCTCTCCTCTCTTCCTTTCCTTCTCTCACCCTCCCTTCTCTCTTTTGCTCCCCCTGCAACCCTGGGAGAGTTTGGGTCACTGGGGACAAAGCAGGAGCGTGGTGCACTCTAGCCCTGGGCCGAGGACCCCAGGAAAACAGAAGCTCCCAGGTGAACAGGTCCTGAGCCCCCTCCCAGACACGCACACAAGTCTGATCCCGTCAGTGCTACCCAGTCACGTGTCACTCCTACTGAGTTTCCCTGGGCGGCGGAGGAAGATGCCTCTCTGTTCCCTGCCATCAGTGGGTGAACAGCCTCCATGTCCTGGGCACTAGAGCAGCTCCCATGCGCTGGGGAGGGGCAGAGGTGAGGGCCCTTTGGGTGAGCTCCAGTGCTCGCCTGGGTCTGTGGCTGCTCCTAGTGACAGCCAACGGCACGTGCGGGTGAGGGCCTCGGCCACTGGTCACCTCATCGAAAGCTGGCTCTGCTCTGTGGTCTGGACAGAAGCTCCTGCACTTGGGGGATTCCAGGAAGGGAGCCTCCCTTCCTGCCCCCCTCCCGCAGACAGCCTTGCCCATCTTGATACCTATCCCCTGCCACCCTGTCTTTGGGTGGTGGGTCATGGAGGGGGCCAGGAGGAAGAGGGCAGGAAGCGCTGCTCCCCTGAGAAAAGCATCTCCCTCACCCAGAGCTCCGGGGCTCGCCCAGCTGAAGCCATCTTCCCACCTTCCCACACCCTTCACCATGTGCCCGGTCCCCGCAGGTCGCTGAAGGCATGGCGTACATCGAGCGCATGAATTCCATCCACCGAGACCTACGGGCAGCCAACATCTTGGTGTCCGAGGCCCTGTGCTGCAAGATCGCGGACTTTGGCCTGGCCCGCATCGTGGACAGCGAATATACGGCCCAGGAGGGTGAGCAGCACCCCAGCCTCCTCCCGGTTCCCCGAGGGCCCTCGGACATCCCGAGACTCTGTTTTAGAGAGTGTGAGAAGAGGCCCGGGAGCCCCAAGAGAGCTAGTAGAGGAGAGACGCTGGCCTTCCCTGCAGCAGCATGGCAGGAGGCGGGGCCAGGGACCTGCAGCCCCTCCCCATCTGGCCTGGAGCCCCCAGCCCAGGCAGCCCAGCAAAGGCTGGGAAAGCCCTGCAGAGTGAGCTAAGTCAGCCAGGTGTACGAAGCCCTGCACGGGGTGCTGAGTGGCCCCTGTCCCCAGGGCCTGCATTGGTCATGGCCAGCTCAGTGGGGTGAGGTGGGTCGTGGGTGGCCAGGCGCAGCCTCACTAAGCCTCGGACCATCCCGCAGGGGCCAAGTTCCCCATCAAGTGGACCGCCCCTGAGGCCATCCACTTTGGGGTGTTCAGCATCAAAGCAGATGTATGGTCTTTCGGCGTCCTTCTGATGGAAATCATCACCTATGGGCGTGTGCCCTACCCAGGTAGGTGGCTGCCTGGCGTGGGTGGGTAGCCATCTCCTGTGTCCTCTCTGCGGGAGCTGCCCCGCACTCAAGAGGAAATCTAGGGCCTCATTTCTGGCTCTTCTCCATAAATGAAAAATAAATAAGCCAGGCATGGCAGCCCCCAACTATAACCCTAGCACTCTGGGAAGAAGCACTCTGAGGCAGAAGGATGGCAAGTTCAAGCCCAGCCTGGGCAACTTAGCCTGGGCAGTTTTAGACCCTGTCTCAAAAATGTAAAATGGGTAGTGGGATAAATCTCCCGCCAAGGCCAGGCAGGTGATCTCCGGGCTGAGCCACCCTCCCCGTGCCTGTCCCCATCCCGCAGGCATGAGCAACCCCGAGGTCATCCGCAACCTGGAGCGTGGCTACCGCATGCCATGCCCCGACACGTGCCCGCCCGCGCTCTACCGCGACGTAATCTCCGAGTGCTGGCGTGGGCGCCCCGAGGAACGGCCCACCTTCGAGTTCCTGCAGTCGGTGCTGGAGGACTTCTATACAGCCACCGAGGCCCAGTACGAGCTGCAGCCCTAATGCGACCGCCTGGACCTCAGAGGAGCAGGGAGGGGACAGCAGGGGGCAGAAGCGACAGCTGCCTGTGCGCCCTGGACCAGCTCCCTGTAGCTCTGTGCTTCGATTTCTCCTCTGTGGGAGGGGAGGACCGAGCGATGACTTAGCCCAGCACTGGTCGCACCAGGATCGGCCCCCGGCGGCCTGCCATAGGTGCGCCTCCGTGACTTGGGGACGACTGCAATAAAGCCCGCGAGACTGCGCTCTCCGGTGTGGCTGCCCGGACCAAGTGTCGCGCGCGCGGGGGCCGGGAAAAGGTCACAGGCCGGGGAGCAGCGGACCCTCCTCTCCCACCCCGCGCCTGCGCATCGGCTTCGCTGCTCCTCGCGGCCGGCAGGTGGCGCCTTCGCCCCACCAACGCCGGCTCTGGAGCAAGGAGAACCCAGAGCCCGGAGCAGGGGGAGGGGGTGTCTGCAGGGGAGCTCACCCCGGAGGAGACCGCGCCCCAGGCTCCGAAACCCGCACCCTCACGTGAGGCCTGAATTGGACCGGGACAGGGGCACGAGGGGCGTGAGAAGGCAGGTTTCCCTCCCTCCCTTCTCCCTGTCTCCCTCCCCACCCTTTCTTCTTCTCTTTGACTTTCTCTCCTCTTGCTTGTTTTCCAGGAGTTTAGGTTCTCAGTGAGATGAACACAAGAGTGCACGGGGGCCCCCATGTCCCCTCCCCCGTCTCCCCAGGTTCCCCATTCCTAACCATCTTCCGATGGCACGCTGGCTGCGAAGGTGCCCTGGTGGGATCTGTGGTCACGCAGCGCTTTTCATGCCCGCACGGTCGTGGGTTTTGTCCAAGTGCATCCACCACGACGGCGTCACCCAGAATAACCCCCTGTGCAGCTGCGCTCGCTCATTCCTCCCCCTTTACCACTTGGCACCCACTTCTCGTGCTTTGACCCCTCTGACCAGATTGATGTACAGAGGGGGAAACTGAGGCACGGCGAGCCATCACACACTAAGGAGTAACAGGATGGGGGTGTGGGCCAGATCGGCGCTGCAGGGCTGTGGGGTGGGGTGCGGAGCCCACTCTGCAGGGCTCCTGAGTTCCAGAAGTGCATCCTGTTAGCTTGCACTGCAGTAGATGGAGACAACCCTGCAGGAAACCCAGGCCTCCTCAGCTCTGCTGTTTCTACGCGGAGGAAGGTCACCTGGGTTCCTGCACCCTCCTGCCTCGTTCCTGGCTGTTGGGCGGACCCAGGGTTTGAACCCTGGCGTGTTGATTGCAGTGCCAGGGAGCACAGCACTGTGGGAACCCAGGCAGGGGAGGTCTGAGGTCGCCCGGGTTAGGTCAGGAGATCCAGCCAGCTCAGGGAGCTAGAATGGAGGTGCCAGGGGACCCTTCTGCTCCCAACAATGGGGCCCCCAAGACCTGCGTGCCTCTGATGGATACCCCAGGGCCCAAGTGCCTTTCAGATTGGTGGTTGTTGAGCCCAACCAGAAAACTCGTATCTCAGCCCCAGTTTAAACTGCCCCCCACCAGCAGCCCCAGAAGAGGGAATCCCAGAGTGGGGTGCCTGGAGGGGGCCCAAGGCCTGGGAGCCCTGCCCATAGGAATCAAACAGGGAGTCCTGCCAATGCAGGGCTCAGGACAGAGCTAGATCAGCCCTAGGGTTCCTGCATGGAAAGAACTACTGACCTGACCCGGCCTGGAGCAACTGGGGTCCTTAAGGACAGAGAGGACCCTCTGAAATGGCCTCCCCTGCTGTCTCCTCAGGCAGAGCAGCTGTTGCCTCCCTGTTGCCCTGACCCCCAGCACTCGGCTCCGCTTGGCTTGGAGAAGCCCTGAAGTGGAAGTGGGGACAGTGGCCAGTGGGGTCACTATCCCCACCTGCACTGACGTCCACCCAGGACCGAGGGCCGAGGGGCCAGGCGGGGTGGGCCTGACTGTGCCCCTTCCCAATGGCACTGGTTGCGAGCGCTGGAGCCAGTCCAATACCCGGACCTCGGAAGTGCAGGCCCAGCTGGTGACTTTCCCGGCTCTGCTGCGCAAGTGACACAGAACCTGGAGGAGGAGCCACTTCCCTCTCCTCCCTGCCCCTGCATTGTAATGAATCCTCCACTAGGGGGCGTGCTTGTCCTGAATCCAGTCCCTGGCATTGGCTCCTTGTGCCACACATGGATGAGGTTATACAGGACAAAGGGTCTGGGGGTCCCCAGGCAGGAGGTGAAATGCAAGGGTGTATACTGGGTCTTGCTAGCCAGAGGGGAGGTCACCCCATCCCTGAACCTGCACTGGAGAGGGGCCAGTGCCTGAGACACCTAGTCACAGTACTGCTGTCCCTGGCTGGAGCTCCGGTGAGGACAGCCAGTGCTCGGGACACCAAGCCCCCCTTCTCGGATGGAGCCTGTGCTGGCCCACTCTTCCTGGACCCAGGACACACCTGTGATGTGGATGACAAGCAGGGTCCTCCATCATACAGTCCTGCGTTCAAACCCAGAATCCAGACACTTCCTGTCCCAGGACCTGTGACCGCGAACAGTGCTGAATTCTGCCAAGCCTCAGTTTCTTCATCTGTAGGGCAGGCACAGTCACGACAGCCCTGCAGGGCTCCTTACCAGGCTTCGAGGTAACAGCATACGAGAGGCGTTTGCCCGGGGCCTCTCTTAGGGTACCTGCGGAAATTGGCTCTTGTCAGTGGTCTTATGGCCTCAAAGCAAGGCCTGCTCTGAGCTGCACGACCTCTGCGCTCCCCTGTCTCTGACACTGTCCCTGTTCCGGGGGTCCTCACCTTCGGGTGGGACCCTGCAGGAGTGCAGGAGCCTGGAATCAGGAGTCTGGTTGGTCTAGCTTGTTCCAGCCTCAGCTCTGTGAGTTTCAGTTTCCTGACCTGTGGACCCTGGGAGGCAGTCTCTCCCACAGGGCGTGCCTAGGGTCGGGTGAGGATTTAGGATATGGGGCACTCTATCAGTTTGCCAGGACTCCTGTGGCTTCAACAGCTGACCTTTATTTCCTCACAGTCCTGAATACTGGAAGTCCCGGGGCAAGAGGAAGCAGGGCTGGCACTGTCTGAGGCCTCTCTCCTCATCTTCCTCCCCAGTCCTGACCACCGTCAATCCGCTTTCCATCCCATGATCAGAGTGTCTAAATGCCTCACTCTGTGGCCTTGAGTAGCACTCGTCTTATGAACTGGCTTATCTCAGTTAACATCACGTCCTCTTGGTGCATCCTGGTACATACCTGTTCCTTTCTGAGGGATAACGTTCCCTCAAGATAACATTGTATTTTATGGATTTTACTGTCAGCTTTTCATTGCTGTGATGAAACACCTGACATACACAATTTAAAGAAGCAGTTTCTGTGGCTCACGGTTTCAGGGGATTGAGTCCATGCTTTCCTGGCTCCAAGGCAAAAACATGGTGGCAGATGGGTGGGCCGAGGAGAGCTGCTCACCTCCTGCAGCCAGGAAGCAGAGAGAACAGGAAGAGCCAGAAAGAGGAAGGGTCTGGAATCAAGAGTATGCCCTTCCAGGTTATACCCCCAGGGCCCTGTTCCTGCTAAGGGCACAGTCAGCTGTGTGCCCTTCAGTGGATTAAAGCCATGATCTAGTTGCTGTCACCAAAGCCCCAGCTCTAAACGCTCGACACTGGGGGACATTTCTGATGCAAACCATAACAGTGATGAGCCATGTTGGTTTTTCCACTCATCTGTCTGCAAATATCTGGGTGACTCCAGCCACTGTGAATTATGCTGGTGTGGACACACACGTGCAACTATCACCTTTGGACTCATTGCTGGGCCAAAGGCCATCATGCTTAATGTTGGAGGGAGTGTCCTACTGCACCCTCAGCATCTCCGTTGTTTTATATTCTCACCAACAGCGACAAGGGTTCCCGTGTCCCCACTTCCTCACCAGCATTGTAACTGAGTTTTCTAGGTGCCATTAGAGTGGACAAAGTAGGTGGTGTTTCAACAGTCTGGCCGTGGTCACCTCGGGACCTCAGCCCTGGTGTGTGGGAGTTCTGGTTGTTTGTAAAGTGGCCCAGGCCCAGGTCCTCTGGTCCTTGCCATCCAGATGGGGTGATGGGGCCTTGGAAAGAGTCTGGTTGGGGCATCTTACTGTGCTCCTCAGGGTTGGGGAGTCTATGCTGGGACTGGGGTGCTGCAGAGTGGGGTGCCCACAGTAGGAAGGAGAGTGAAGAGGTTATTGGAACAGAGTCAGGCTTTGAATATTTTGTTTTCAAAAACCAGTCACCAAGTCCAGCATATGCATCATCCTGTGCTTCTCACAAGGGGGAAACTGAAGCCCCGTTTAAAAACCTGCCCCCAGGGCCAACAAGAGCCCAGTGGGAACAGCCCCTCAGCCTCAGGCCCTCACCAGGCTCTGGTGCCCCGGCTTCCTGGTAGATGGATGACAGCTTGCTCAGGATCTCTGGGAAGTGGAAATCATGCCCTGGAAGACTCTCCCATTAGACTTGGCAGTGCAAGATCCCCGGCCACTGCCAGCTGAGTGGCTCCTGTGGCTTGGACACAGCGCAGCATCTATGCAGCGGCCACAGCACCTGGTCTCAGGGCTCCATGAGTTACCAAGGGGGTCCAGGTGCCCCTCAGGAGCCTCCAGGGTGGTGTGCTCTCTGTCCAGCCTGGGTACTGGGAAGGGGGACCGGGCTAGAGCTCCCCAAATGTGTCCCTAGGAGGGGAGTGCCACACATAGACCCCATGCTCCACTGTGGCCCAAATGGAAGGATGGGAGTGACCATACAACCCTGTCCTCGCCCCTGGGGACACTGCAAAACGGGGTGAGAGGGCTCCGGGAAGCCAGGTGGATGAAGAACAGGGAGGAGAAGCCTTTGGTGCTGACAGGGCCGCCAGCCTGAGGGACTGTCGTGCTGGATGTGGCCACGGCGTCCCAGGACAAGTGCGATGACCAAGGCACTACATGAGCTCAGCTCTCTGATGATTCATGGAGTAAGAGCTTGGCCTGACATCACCTGAGGCCTAAGAATAGCCACGGGAAATGCTCAAAATAACCCTGGAGTCAGCTCGAGGGTGCTCACCAAAGCGGTCCGACTCACACTGTGGGGACTCGGTGGCCTCCTGCCCCAGGCCAGCCCCGAAGAGATAGCCCCGAGGATAGCCACAAGGAAACAGACAACCTCTGCTGGGCTCTGCAGCTGGGGCCCAACCAGGCCAGCCTGCGCTCCACCACTGCCTCTGCAGCCACTACGCAGCCTCCCAGGGACAGAGTGAGGCTCTGAGCTGCAGGTCACACAGAGCTGGAGCAGACTTGGGCCAACCCAGACCTCAGGAGCCTGAGCTTCCTGCTAGAGGAGCTGAGAGGGTTCGCTTCCCCTCCCTGCTCAGCTGAGATCAGGCTGTGGGCTCCTTCGTGGGCCACAGACCTTGTCTGAGCCCCAGTTCTACCATCTTTGAACAGACATAAGCACAGCCATCTTAGAGGGGCACCAGGACAGGGCACAGGAAGCGCCTGCCTCTCCTAGAATGTGTTGCCTTCCTTCCCCACACCTGCTCAGAAGCCAATCCCAGGCCAGACATCCCCTCCCTGAGACTCTCAGAGTCCTGCTCCCCTTTCCCACCCCGTCCCGCTTCCCCGGTGTCTACCCCCACCTTGGCCCTTGGGTTCCCACCATGGCCAGCAGAGGCTGACAGATGCTGACGGGAGCCAGTCCCCAGGGTGTGAGCAGATTGCAGAGGACAGATGAGGTGCAGGGGGAATGAGGCTGGGGGTTGGGAGGCAGGGCAGGAGGGCTTGTGTGCCCACTAATCTCAGCCCTGTGCCTCCTGGAGGCCCAGGGCACCATCTAGGGGCATCTCTGTGGGAGCCGTCCCTGGTACCAAGGTCACTGCACAGCTCATGGTTAAAATTAGCCTCAAGCTCATCGCCCTGGACCGCAGTGGCCTTTTCCCATGAATCCGTAGGACCTGGCCCTGCATAGAGATGTCTGCCCTACTCCGGAGAGCAAAGAGGACACAGGCCACTGTTCTCAAGGCTGAGGAGGGTGGGTGCATGCATGCTTGTGTGTGCACGTGCACGCAAGTGTGTGGGCTTGCACGGCAGGCATGATTAACCAACCCGGGGAATCCAGGCAGAAGAGGAACATGGAACTGTGCATCTCAGGCTTACCACAGTTCCTTGCTTGCAGTTTTTCACTCACCTCCACAGTTCCTGTCACCTTCCATCACCCAGGTTCTATCCAGCCCCAGCATCGAGCCCTGGGCTCAACACCACTAAGAAAAAACAGCCAGGCTCACACACCTGGAATCACAGCACACCGGGAGCAGAGGTGGGAAGACTCCAAGTTTGAGCAACTTGGCAATTTAGCCAGACTCTGTGTCAAAACAGAAGATAAAAATGAACTGGGGAGACAGCTCACTGTGCAAACTCTAGGCTCAGCCCCTAGCACTGAAAACAAAGAAACAAGCAAACAAACAAAACCCATGGCTGTCCAGTGAGCAAATGAGCCAACCGTGGGCAAAACGGGCACCAGCTTGGCACGCTTGCCACCTCTGTTGACCAGTGTCCTTATGTCTGATGTCATCCACATCCCCAGACCCTGGCACAGACCCTGGCACAGAATCCAGCCCATACCGTGCTCCATGGCTGTGTGTGGAATACCTAGGGGATGAGGATAAGTCACCAGTCCGCGTGGTTCACATCACTGGGTGACAGCACGGTGGAGCCAGTAACCCTGTCGAGCAGGGATCACAGGATGGCTTGAGTCCCAGAACAGCTCTGAGCATGAGCGGGAGAGAAGCTCGGTGCCCCAGGAGCTGGGCCGGGCAGCACAAGCCCTTGGTCGGGCTCAGCCCTGGGCCTGTACTAGGCGGTCATGGCCCACCAAGCAGGCAGTGCGTTAACCGGAAGCCAGGGCGGACATAACAGTGGCTCCGAAGCTCTGCATAGAGGACCTGGTGCACACGGGCCTTCCCGGCTGTGAGGGGTTAAACACTCTGAAGCCGCGGATGCCCTCTCTCTAATCCCGCAAGGCGAAGGCTCATGCAGGACGGGTGATCAAAGTTAACGTAGTATCAGATGGGAAGACAGTGTTTGCAGTGCCTGTATAACAAAGGATTACTGCAAAGAAAACCTGAGGAGCACTTCCTGCTCCTCAGGGCTGAAGACAGATGGACAGATGATAAGTGAGAGTGGGCACAGGGGGAGACGCTGCAGCTGCCCTGGTGTAGATGAAAACTCGAACTGAATCAGGGTGTGTGATTTCTTAGCCCTCAGCCCGCGAGTGCAGGAACACTGGACTCCAACATCGCTGCAAAGAGGTGGGAAAACACTCCTCCTGTGGCCAGGGCCTTTGGAGAGACTCCAGATGTGCTGTGCACACCCAGGACGGAGCTACGGCGCATCTTGAGAATCATCCCGCAGCCAAACAGGCCCTCATCCCTGAGAACCAGCGTGCCATGCCTTCCTGTGGCCAGTTCGTGGTTCCAGGGGGGACAGTGTAATGTAAACACTGAGTAAGAAATTAGGAGGGAAACTAGGGCACCGTGGTTTCATGGATTTGATTCTGACTTTAAACCAATAGCTTTGCAGCACCGAGGGATGTGGAGACAGGACCAGACCCTTAGCAGGGGATGTGCAGGAAAACACACACTGTGTATTGGTCACCCCCATGTGTATGTAAAGGTGCAGCTAAGGGACCCCAGTGGTACCCACCAAGGAAAGGCTTTGGGCCTGCAGGGGGGGCTGGGCTGATGGCAGTGGAGGATAAAGGAGGACGCTGTCTTGTGTGGCTGAAGTCCTTTGGGGCCACAGGGCATTAATGTATTTGGAGAAGAAAGCCAGACAGGTGACAGTGATGGATTGCTCAGTGCAATTGTGCCTGGTGCAGAGAATGGATGGCGGCCCCCCCCCCGGGGGCCTCCTGACACTGGACCTCCTTCACCAGCCCCACCCAGCCCATCTTCCAGTTTCCACTGCCAATCCGGCCCTCCCTGGGTTATCAGGCCTTCTTTGCAAGCACTGCCCCATTACAAGTCGTCAAGGCGGCCTCCACTAGCAGGAGTGAGGTGGGCAAGGACAGGGCTGGGCTCCTGCCCACCCAGCGCCTGACACTGATTGTGGTAGCCAAGCCCCTCCCTGGGCCCAGGCCAGGTTTTCTCCACTAACGGCTCTTCCACAGCTAGGATGTCCCCAAAAAAATGTCCTTTCATGGCACAGCCACGCAGTCATGCAGTGCCCATAGCACCAAACATTGACTGCATACCTCCCTCACAGGGACCAGTCATCATGCCAGGCAGTGACACCTTTACACAGTCCTGAGATGTGAGTCCTGGGTGCCCACTTCACAGATGAGGAAATGCTCAGAAGCGACCAGTGACCCAGATCTCCAGCAAATATGGGGCAGCGTCAGGGTTTGGATGCAGGCACCAAGACCACAACCTCAGGGATGACCTCCCACTGCCCAGGCTTCTGCCCAGGAAGCAGGAGTTCCCAGCCAATCTATTTGAAGCCAGCCTTTGGCAGCACCATTCCCAGTGCCCTTCACCCTACCAGTGCGCACTCATCCTGTCCACTTAGGCTTAGCAGTGGGGCGGGGCCCCCTCCATGGGGTGGCCACCACAAGAAGTGGCACCATCAACTGCCAACTTGAGCATCCTGCCTTTGCTGAGAGCAGGGAGAGAGTATCTAGGGGAACCAGAGCTCCGGCCGAGCCTCCTGGAACCCAGCCCTCTCTGGACTCGGCCAGAGTGCTTGCCAACCTCACTTTCCTTGCTTATAAAATAGAGGTTGTAAAAGCACCTGTGCCAATTGAGATGCTGGGCTCATGCCAAGCCTCTCAGTGTCAAGTTGGTCAGGCACCTGGAGCCCACTAAGCAAGTGGTGTCAGGAAGTGGGCATCACCATCCTCATCACTATCATCACCATCCCATGGTCACCATCACCATCTCATGATCATCACCATCACCATCATCATCATCATTATGATCATCACCATCATCACCGTCACCATGGTCAGCATCACCATCACAATCATCACCATCATCACCGTCACCATCACCATTATCACCATCATCACCATCATCACCATCACCATTATCACCATTATCATGGTCACCATCACCACCATCATCACCATCACCATCATCACCATCACCATCATCATCGTCACCCTTACCATTATCATCACCATCACCATGGTCACCATCATCGCCATCATCACGATCACCATCACCATCACCATCACCATCACCATCATCACCATCACCATCATCACCATCATCACCATCATCACCATCATCACCATTATCTGCATCAACACCATTGTCATCATCGGTGTCATCACTATGATCACCATCACAACCGCCATCATAAGCTATCATCACCATCACTGTCTTCATCATCGCAACTATCATGACCATCACCACCATCCTCATTATCATTATGCCTGTCCCCAGCATCATCCCTGTCACCACCCCCATTGGTATTATCAGTTCCAACCTCTGGATCTTGGTTCTTTATTTGGAAAATTAAACATGAAACATTAAGTCATTTAGAGTTGGAAGACATCTTCTAGGTGTCTTCCAACTCTAAATCTAACAAGACAAGGCCAAGTTTCCGTGGTATTCATGAGAGGACAGAGATTGCCAAACCAGTATAAAGGAGACAGAAAGGGGAAACTTCACCCGAGTGGCAGAGTGATCTGAAGACTTGCAGGGACCTTGCTCTGCCGGCTCCCAAGTGACTCGGAACCTGGGAAGGAAGTGGACAGACTTGAATCTAAAGTCTGCCCCATTGCTGTCTGGTCCCCTAGTCCAGGCTCAGCTGAGCCCTCTGAAGGCTGGCACGGCTGCACGGAGGAGGACCCCGTGTGGCATCTCAGGCCCGCTGGGGCCTTGAGAGGAGCAGGACATCCTCTCGGCTTTCTCACGTGGAAACTCACAGTTCTTCTGGTTACCATGAACATTTAGGGCAGGAGCTGAGATGCACCCAGTGTTCCCCCAGCTCTTGGGGACAAAGGTCAAGACCAGCAGGACTGACCTGGAGAGAAGCATGACCACTGTGGTCCCCCAGAGCTGGTGGTGACTCTGCTCCATGCTGCCCGGGTCAGCATGGGTCCCCACAGTTGCCGACAGTGGAAGAGAGACCCTGCCAGGGGTGATTTGGAATGGTCAGTGTGTACAGAGGGGGGCTGAGTCCCAGGAGCAGGTCAGTTAGAGGACAGCAGGGTGTCACCTCGAGGGAGGGGGCAGTTGCACCATGGGAGGTAGAATGGATGAGGAGGTGTGGCAAGAAGGAGAGAGCAAGGGGGAGCATCTGAGGGAGGAGACGGGGCACGGGACTCCAACATGAAGGAATAGCACTAGAGCAAGGACAGTGACTTCCCTGACCCGGAGTCCCCACCAGCTAGCTGGGCCACGCTTACGGGGCACTGCAGTCCGGGGTTACCAGAACAATTACAATCAGGACACAGAATTTGTAATATTATTCTATAAGTAAGTGCAGGAAATCTGTCCTCAACACTAAAGACCTAGAATATTCAGCCAAAGGCCTGGATCCCACAGCAATGTCCTGCATGAGTCCAGATGAAGACCTAGAGCTCATGACAGTGCCTCCCACAAGGACACACACCAGTCTGTTTCACAGATCCGTGCTGGGAAGGCCCAAAGGCCCGTGGTGGAAGTCAGAAAGTCTGTGCCAATGAGGTAAGGAGCTGTGCCAGTAGGCTAAGGGTTCTACACTGGAACTGAGAAGTGACACTCAAAATAAGGACCAGGGCTGCCCTGGAAAAGCATCACAGCCACCCTCAGCGACACGGAGGTCCCAAGCTCCGCAGTGATGAGAACAGTGGAGTACATGCCAGAAAGCCAGCATGATGAGCTTCTGGAGATTAAAACTCAGCTTCCCTTCTGGAGCCAGGAAGCAAAGTAAGGACCAGAGCTCCCCTAAAGTGAACCACAGCCACTCACCAACAAGGTCCCGAGCTCCTCTGATGACAATGGTCAAACTCACACTGTGGAAGGAGTCATGACGAGCTCCTCCAGGAGAACCAGCAGCTCAAACAGCAACACAGAGAAACCCACAACGCCTCACTCTTCCTCTCCACATCTTTATGCTGGCAACTTTCCTCAGGTGGCCATCTACACGCAGCACCATGCTGATTCAATTCAGCTGATGTTAAGTTGACCACCAGTTTTTAATCCATAACACAGGTGCTCTGGCCACCCAGCCCTGGGGTGGACAGAGGGAGGAGAGGGGAGGCCTGGCAGGGCATGGAGAGGGGCACAGAGAGGCAGCTGCCGGGCCTCCAGGGCCTCAGGGCTGGGTAGGTGGGCACAGCCACAGGCCTTCTGGGAGGCCCTTCCGGGGCTGCGCGGTTTCAGAGGGGACTTGGACTCAACCCTACACTCTGAGCACTGAGGGAGTACCTGGCCTGGGCTGGGGACTGTACCGTGTCATTCTGTTTAAAACCCTGTGAGAGTGTACAGAAGAGGAAACTGAGGCACTGGGGTTGGCCAATTAGGGCCTCTGAGCCGCTCTGTTTCTGCACGGCTGACAAGGTTCCCATGGGCTGGAGCTGTGGCCCTGATCTGGGCAGCTCGGGGAGCTCTCAGCCATGAGCCATCACAGGTGGGCAGGACTCTGAGTCCAGGTGCTCTGTGGGTTCCAGTCCGCTTCCCTGTGACACCAGCTGGCTCCACACAGCACTTGTGAGTACTGCCGTTGTCGTAAGTGGGATGTAATTCAATGCCACAACACCAGCTGCTTAACCTGACCATATAGGGACACGTGGCTGACCTCTGGAAGCCTGAGACGCTCACCCCAAAGGGACCTGGGGTGACTTCGAGCCAGCTCCAGGCTTTGGTGGCTTCTCCCTTGAGCTTCACTGCCACTGTGACCAGCGTTTGGGACAATGCCCAATACTCCAGAGATGGGGCGGCCACCAACAGCAGCCGTGATGGGGAGGTCACATGTGGCCCAGGTGAGTCCTCGAGGGTTGCTGTGCTCCTGCAGGAAGCCACATGAGGGGAGAAGGAGAGGCGGGATGGCAGTGATGTGCAGCCTTCTCCCTCCGTGAGGGCTGTGTTCCACAGCGTTGCATGGGACCCACAGACCCACAGGTATAGGCTCCAGCAGGTCCCCACCGGCCCCACCCTGGGGGGGCTGGAGAGCCAGATGGAGGCTCAGACGGCAGAGACACCAGGAGGAGAACACTGCCACTGCCTGGCAGTTATCCCTGTTGCTTCAACATGCCTCAGTTTACCTAGCTGCAAACCCGGGCAGCAGAGGCACCTACTGTCAGGTGGGGCAAGCTGAGTGGACCATGTGCAAACAGCAGGCTTGTGTCACATGCCCTGGATGGAGTCAGGGTGGGCCTGGGGCCGGGCCGCTTCCTCACTGCCCCTTGCTCCCCCATCCAGCCCTGCCCCGGCGGCATTGTGGGTGGTCACAGGCTCCCTGTGATAACTGAGGGTCACGAGGGTCAGCGCAGGGCCAGCAGCTGCCTGGGCTGTATTGCTGCCCCTGCCGCTGGGAGGGCCAAGCCATGGACTGGGGGTCTTGTCTCACAGCTATTGTGTAAACACCGAGCATCCGCAGGGGTCGGGCTGGACGGAAGAGCACCTCGTCCTTGGCTGGGAGCCAAGGGCCTGGTGGACAGCAGCACCGGGACCAGGAGTCCCCGGACCAGGGCAGGCTCCCCACAGGAGCCCAGGTGGCCTTGAGGCCCCACCCTCCAGCTTCTCTGCCACGACTAGGGTCCCTGTGTTCCTTTGTGGTGATGCAGGCCTACTGTGACCCAGTGTGGACGTTCCTGGTGCTGCTGAGCCATGAGTTTAAAAGTACAGTGGATTTTATGTCGTGTACATTTTACCATCATAGAACCTGAAATTAAAGTGGCTCCCAACTTGGAAAACAGTGGCCTTAAAGATATTTGCTGAACAAGTTATCCTCACGCCAGAGCAGGGAAGGATCTGGGGGAGCATCTGGGGGGCATCCGGGCACATCTTGCTCCATGCCCTGGGGAGGAGGCAGGCACTTGGCCAGCTCTGGGGGAAGGGGTGGATGTGGAGGTCACCGTGGAAACCGCCTCCTCCTGCCACCGCCTCCTCCGTCCTTGCCATCTAGGCGCTCTGTGGCCCCCACCCACGCCCTTGCATCCTCCTGCCCCCAAGAAGGGAGGCAGCTGCAGTCCAAGCTTCCTCCTCAAAGGCCACAGGAGAAAAGCCACGCTAATCTCTGGGGAGCATGTTGTTATTGCCCCGTAAATAAGGGGGTGTTCTTCCCGGACTGAACTGATTCTTCTGCTGGGCGACACCTACCACCCTGGCGCCTGAGTCTGCCCGAACCGGGAGCAGGGACAATGAGCATCAGGCAGGGGAAGGGTGGCGCTCGGCCACGTCGAGGGAACCAGAGCCCTGACCAATATGGACAGACTTTAGGAGGCCCTGCTGGAGCCCCAGGACCACTGTCCTCTAACCGACGCTTGGAACCCGTGGCCCCTCGGAGTCACCAGATTGGAGCTGCTCTCTGATCAGAGGCATTTCTGTGAGGGGAGGCGAGGGCCATTTAGTGACCACCGGTGTGGCTGAAAACCCAGAGTGATGCCCAGGGAGCTTCCCACAGACCTCTAAGTCGATCAGCACTTAGCGTTTCTAGTGCAGGAAGCAGCATAAATGTGGCCTGTGGGCAGCTGAGGAGACCACAGCAGACCGCACTGCGACCTCCTCCCAGGAGAAGGCAACCATGCCTCACGGAGAAGGAGAACTGAATTATGTGAGTGTTTCCTGCACTGGAGCCCCGTTAAGCCCCCTGACAGAGGAGCAGAGTCCCTGTTGTAGGCGAAAGGCTGGACCCTGCCCTCTTCCGGAGTCGCCTTCCTCCAGCCTGCAGGTGGAGGAGCTCGTGTGCAAGGGTGCAGGCTGTCGCCACCAACGTGAGGGGTTTCACTGAATCACGTGGCCCAGGCTGGGAGGGTGGCTGCTCCCCCATTGGAGTTTGGGGACCACCAATGGGACCTGGGCCTCAGACGAAGGTGGCAGAGAGGCAAGCAGCTGTCATGGGAGGAGGTATCAGTGGGTGTCACTGTGACATGGAGGAGGTAACAGCCAGCTCACCCGGCAGCTGTGAGATTTGAACTTAGGCCCTGGGACTAATTCCCTCCCAGGCAGCAGGAAAGGGGGGGACTCAAGAATAGAGCAGGATGACGGTGGGGAGTATAGTGGGCCGGCAGATGACAGGAAGCCCATGTGCGGGGTGGGTGCAGGCGAGACCCCAGCCTCAGGGACAGACCAGAAGCCAGGACCACGGCCAGTCAGCAACAGGCGGCCGAGATTGGCACCGCCAGGAGCCCCAGAGCTCCAGCCTGAGTCAGAGTGGTGGGGGAACCCGGAGGAGGGGCGGCACCCAGGAGGCCTTTGCTGTATGGGGAGGTCCAGAGAGGGAGCCCCAGGGCTGATCCTGCACACAGAGCCGCCTGTGCCCCCCACCACCCACTTCGCCTGCTTCTGCTCTCACCCCTTCCCAGTCTTTCTGCATGTGGAAAGAACCCATGATGGCCTGGCTGAGGCCGCCTAGAGGTAGAACTCACTCTGTAGCTCACTCTGTAGCTGGCCCGGAGCTCAAGGTGACCCTCCTGCCTCAGCTTCCTGCGTGTGCCACCACACTTGGCTTCCATTTCTCTCTTGGGGGGAGGTCGCCTGCATACGGCACTGACCTCACGGGAGCTCATGGTCCTCCGTCTCCAGCTCCATGAATCCCCCCCCCTGCACCCACATTCTCCCTACCACTGCGAACCCCAGCTCTCAACTGCGCCTCTCAGTGGACCATGCCCCCACCCAGCTGGCTTTTCACTTGCTCTTCTATCCATTTTGTTTTGGGAAGACTTAAAAATGACTCAGGTCATCACTGATTAGAGAGAAGCGTCCATATTAATTGAAAGAAAGTGTGTTAGTCTGCCTGGTGCTCCTGTCTGTAATCCCAGCACTCTGGATGCTGAGGCAGGAAGATCACTGGGAGTTCAAGGCCAACCTGGGTAGCATGATGAGACCTCGTCTCACCCCCCCCACCCCCAAAAAACCAGGTTAGGTTTGTTCTTTGCTGTATTTTTTCTTTTCACAGATGCATAATTGCACACAGTAATAGGGTACAGTGAGATAATTCGATACATTTGTACACTGTCCCGCGATCGAGCCCGGGCAGCTATCGTCTCTCCAGCTCCTTTCATACCTTTCACTCCTTCGTTGTGAGACGCCCTGGATTTCTCTCTCCCAGTCCTTCACAATGGATTGCTGTGCATTGTGGCCACCCTCTAAGACGGCTTCTTCTGTCCTGCAGCATCTTGGTCCTTGCTATCCAGTTTCCCTAGCCTCTTGGGTCTCTACCCTCTCTGCTTCTGTGAATTACTGTTTTTTTGCCTCCACCTGTGAGAGACTGTTTTTGTCTCTCTGCCTGGTTCATTTCCCAGAACACAGTGCTCCCCAGCTCCAGCTGTGTGGCCACTCTGAGGTTTGTTCTTTTTCATGACTGAGTAGTACTCCACAGTGCCCACCTCATCTCCCTGTCTGTGGTTTCCTGGAGCACCACTTCAGCTGATCCCACAGCCTGGCATGGTGAATGGTGTGACCGTAAGCGCAGTGCTAAACTCAAGCAGTGCCACAGCGCCTGCCAGCCAGTGCTAACAGACACTCAGGTCCCTTGGAGGAAGCGGAAGTCTCCGTCTGTCTTTCCATCTTCTAACGAAGCCTGGCCCAGTGGTGGGGAGAAAGATCACCATGTTATCTGATTCCCTGTTTTGTGTTATTTTAGTTATGAAATCTCAATGGCTGCTGATATGTGGGGTGTTTGGGGTGGGCTGGGAGTGCTTCAGGACTGAGATGGCACCCTGCTTCCGCCTGCAGGGTCACTTCCTGGCTCCCAGGCTGAGACTGCGCCAGGCAGACAGGTCTATGGGCCAGTCATAAGTGCCTGCTGCAGGACGAAGGAGATGGAGAATGTGCAGCCCAGGCCCGTGGGCCCAGCCATACCGCACAGCCCGGACAAGCACAGGACACGAAGGAACGAAGGTGCAGGGAGTGGAGGGGTGGAGCTGCCGGTCACTGAGGGAGCAAATGCACAGTGGGGGAGTGGAATGGCTGCAGGGACTGAGGCGCCCTGGGCCTCTGCGGGTCCCTGAGCCTCCGAGAGATGCTGCCTGTGCTATGGGCCTAGCAGAGCTGACCAGGTAGGCGTGGCACATGTGCCCGATCTCTCTCTCTCTCTTACACATGCACACACCTGTGCACAGAGCTTCATGGCCACTCAGCCCAGACGGTTTGGGGAGGGATGGGACCACTGTCTTCCCACGACTGGGACTCAACCTGATTTGTAGATCGCTGCCCACCAGCTCAGGGAAGCTGGGGCAGCAGCAGTGACCTGATGGGGCCCCTTGCCGGGTTGCGGGGAGCTCTGGTCGTGCAGTGGTCAGAACTTCACCAACGCCAAGCTCCTCCTCGCTCATCCCTCCTCTCCCGTGCTTCCTGGGGGATCCCTGTCCACTCCATACCCCGCTTTCTCCCAGAGAGGAGGCCACACAGTGGGCCCTGGGCCCTGGCAGCAGGGTCTCGGTGCTGCTTGCTTCGGAGATGGAAAAGGCACCGCCGCTGCACTGCGGAGGTTGGGGATCTCTGTCCCTGTCATCCCCATGGCCTCCTGGCTGCCACCTCTTCCCTCCCCACTCCCCCTTCCATCTATCTGTCCGTCTGCCCACTGGGCGGGTGGCCACCTGCTGCCCCATCAACCACCCACATCTGTTGGCTTTAACAGACATGGGGCTCCGGCCCTGAGCCCCTCATGCCCCAGCGATCCTGAACTCTGCATCTGGCTGCATGAAGGAGAGGGCCCTGCAGACGTCACACTGAAGCCTGTAACCAGACACCTTGGTGCACACAAGTAAAATCTTGCCACCTCCACCCAGGCCTTTGGGGGGCTGAGCTGCTGGGGACGTGGCTCAGGGAGAGTCAGGCTGGGGAGACCAGCCTGGCAGGGTCACCCCCATACCCCACTACTGTTCACATCTGTGCGATGAGGATGCAGGAGTCCCCCTCCCCCTGCCCCATGGCACCATTGTCCCACTGTGGCTGACACTGGCTGAGGTCTCCCTGCCTGACACAGGGCTGTGGTAGTCACTGTCAGGGCACCCCCGAGCTCTGGGGATGCAGGCAGGGGCTGGGGCTGGGGCGGGGACCTGGGGTCTCCAGGGGCTGAGGCCCGCCCTGTGGCTGCAGGCACTGGCAGGACCACTGCTGCCCTGCTCCTCTCCGGTGGGGTAGGAAGGACAAAGGGGTGCTGAGAACCCTGTGGCCAAAGGCCAGCATTGGAGTTGGGCTCTGGAGTGCACACCCAAAGTGTCAGGCAGCAGCTGAGAGGCAGTGGCCGTCGGGGAGGCACAGGGCTGTACACCAACTCCGACCTTCAGGCTCTGTGCCCCACTTGTCCAATTGAGTCTGCCGAACCAACCAAATGCTTATCCCATAGGAGTCAGAGGGACCCTTAGAGTCCGCCTAACCCAGCCCCACCCAAGGTTTGACCACCTGCTGTAACATGGGGAGGAAACAATTGAATACTCCTGGTGACAGGCACCTCACCACCCACGCATCTCCTACGCTTCCATTGCTGCGTGCGAGGCCCTTCCTGAGTTGGACTAACTTGCTGGCTCCTTGGCCTCCTCCTCCCCTCCCCTCCCCCCTTCTTCTTCTCCTATCCCCACTCCCTGGAATGAGGTGAGCAAGTCTGCTCATTGCCACAGGTCCTGCGTGGGGCAGTCAGTCGCTAACCCACCCCGGGACAACCCTCTCTATCCGCCTGTGAAGTGCCGAGGGCGATCTGAATGACCCTTCACTTCACCCCTGCTGGGAGAGGCCCTGGTGCCGGGAGGAAGGATGACACACTACTGCCACCTGCTGGACTATCGCTGGGATGCTTCTGCCTCACGCAAGCGGAAGGAGAGAGCTGTCCCACCACTGTCAAAGCCAGCGAGACTTCTGTGTTTGTGACTCTGAGGATTGAGTCCAGGGTGTTTGCGCTGATCTACATCCCCAGCCCTTTTTTATCTTTTGAGATAGGCTCTCTCCAAATCACTAAATTTCCTGGGCTGGGCTCACACGAATCCCCCTGCCTCAGCCTCGCAGAATGCTAGGGCCGCAGCTGTGCTGCCGTGCTCAGCTTTCTCATGATTGTTTTTAAAGCTGCTGGGGCTCACCCACCGCCAGTTTCAGAAAGCGGCTCATGTTGCAGATGCTTAGCTTCTTTCTGCCTCTCTTCATTCTCTACCCTGCCTTGGCCCCCCTGTCCAGGGCCCACTGCTCCTGGGGTGGGGGTGGGGTGGGGTGTCAGGGGCGAGGTAGGGCCGGTGTGGAGTCTGGGAGTCAGGTGGGCCTACAGAGTCAGTGGGCTTTGCAATCTCCCACCCTAGCCACCCACATGAGACCAGGCAGAGGCCAGTGACTCCTCCCGGGGGTTCAGCAGGAGAGAAAGGCCTGGCCCCCATCCCAGCAGCAGGTCTCTGACGTTTCCCTCTGAGGAGGCAGGAGCCCTCAGTGGGTCCTATACAAGGGCCGGCCTGCCTGGCCACTTCACTCGGACTCTAGCAACAGATACCAGATTGGCATCATGGGGAGCCGACCCAACACCTCACTGTGCTGTGGGTGCAGAGACTTCAGCCGTCACCTGGGTCTGGAAGCACAGCCAGATGGAGGAGGCCTGGGGACCCCCACTCGGGTGCCCACAATGCCCAATGTGCCTCCTTTCCTCTGCCTGAGACCCTGAGTGCCTGGGGAGCCTGGGCGCCCCACTACACCCTGCACCCACCCTGCTGGGAGCCCCGCCCTGCTCCCAGGGACCCCTTCCTATGCACCATGGTGCCTGGGCCATGACGTGGCGGGGATTCGGTATAACAGTTGTTAGGGACCAGAACACAGGGCCCGCTGTGTCCTCGGTAATGGGCACCATGGGCTGAGTGTGAGTCACAGCCTTGCCAGGCAGCCTCGCCTGTGAGGTGCAAGGGTGTGTCTGTCTGCTGCCTCTCTGGATACCTCCAGAGACCCGAGAGGGCTAATAAACTGCCAGCCAGTCTGCTGGCTGAAGGCTCCAACTTAGGTGGAGGATGGGTCAGGAAAGTCCCTCGGAAGCCATGGATTCTCTAACCTACGTCTACCTCCAGCACTGAGCTACGGTTCTACATTTCTAAGGCCCACAGCCACGTGTCTGCCTCTGCCCACGTGTGGCTGCCTCCCACTCAACCCTAGGGCACAGACAGCCCAGGCCTCCCCCTGCGGCCTTCAGCTGGTGCCTGGACCCCAGCCAGCCCAGTGCTGGGATAATGGGTTCTCCTCTCTCCAATGGAGCCAATTAAAAAGACAAACGATGGCCCATTATCTGCCCCCCACCCCGCGGCAGCCCCTCCAGGGAACAGGCCGGGGCCTCTCTGGCAGCTCCTCTGCCTCTGGGTGCTGCAGGCGGCTCAGGAAGGGGCAGGCACGTGGAAAAGGACGCCCATGCTTGGTCCCCCCTGAAGCACTCCACACCGAGTACCAAGCACTGCTGAGCCTCAGGGCTTGTTTTCAAGTTCTGGCCTTGGGCCGGCAGCCTTGCCAGAGGGCTGCACTGCTGAGGACCGTCTGGCTCCCTGCAATCTGGGGACTGCAGTCCCAGGCCAGACTGCCCAGGAAAGTGAGGGCACTTTGGCCGAAGAAGCCCAGGACTAACCCAGCTCCCGTGCCATCGAGCTCTGAATCGCCAGAACTTGGGCTCAGGACCACCCAGGGCCCAGGCTGGCAGGTATAGGGCCCCTGCAAGTCCCTTCCTGCTATGGCAACCCCAAGAAATTTATTCCAGTTCCTCTGCACCACTCCTCTCACTTCCTATCAAGCCTTCCTATCTGTCTCAGAAGTATCACCCTCAAAAGTTTTTCCTGAAATCTAACTGATGAGGGGAAAAAGCCTTTATTCCCATCACTGTCTAGTGAACTCCTACTCATCCTTCAAGACCCAAAGCAGTTTGTTACATCTAGTTTTTATTAGTCCTACCATTCTCCTACCACCTCTGCTGTACCGTAAATATTCTGTTCAGTTACTGGATATTTAGCTAGTGCCCGCCTTGTGCCAGGCACACAGTGGGATCCAGGCAATGTCTGCAGAAGCAGGATGACAGCGTGCCCACGTCTTCAGAGATGGGCTGGCAGGAGGAAAGAGACACAGAAATGATTTAAGCTGATCCCCGGCATGTGCTGCACAGTAACCAGGACAGGGCCTGCTAGTGCTTGCTGGCCTCTCCTCACACAGCTCTCATTAGGGGCTCCCCTGGAGCCTCCTAAGGTGAAGTCTGTGGCCTCTGGGGTCCGAGTATCTCAGACCTCAGTTTCACCAGGCCACAGAGGATGCAGCTCCCCACTCAGTGACCAGGGCTGCCCTAGAGGATCCCCAAGGACAGAGTTGCAGGCTTTGTGGGACCTGCAGGTACAGGGGACCCCAGGGGCTGGGAGCCGGGAGCCACCTCTGGAGGGGAGCATTGTAGGTGACCTTCAGCTCAGCCTAGGCCCATCGACCTTGGGGTCTCAGCGATGGGGCTGAAAAGGATTCAGGGATTGGCCAGTCTGTCCCACCCGCCCTGGCCCCTCACCTTAGTCACAGCCAGCCCAATGCTGTCAGGGAGGGAGATCGATGTCTGGGCCCCAGAGACTGCCCCCTGCACAGGGAGAGGCCCTGGGTTTGTGTTCCTCCTCCACTTGGTTGTTCCCTTGCTGGGGTTAACCCAGGGCTCCCCCACCCCCCTTACTGGTATTTTGTCCTGAGGCGGGGTTTTGCTGGGATGCTGGGCCCAGGCTGGGCTCGAACTCACTGTCCTCCTGTAGCACACACGCTGGTCAGTGGAGAGACCCAGACAGTCCCATCCCTTCATGGTGACTGTGTGGCACCGGGGACCCTCTCCACCTCTCCACACCCCCCAGCACCCATGTTGCCTTCGAGCCCAGAAGCTAAGAGGCCATCACCCCTATCCCACCTTGTTGACAACACAAAGCCAGCACTCGCCAGATGCCACCAGCTGCCCCCAGCCCTGTGAGTGTCCTTGTCCCTTCCCAGGGTCCCCAGTTGGGCTCTCAGAAAAGGGGCTCCAGGTCTGTTTCCCAGGGGGCTGCACAAGCTGGGAGTTTCTGGCTGCCCCTGGGCAGCTGCAGCTGCGGCAGGTATGCGGCTGTGCCCTTGACAAGAGAGCTCCCCGGCGGGTGGGTGCAAGTTTAGTCTGAAATTCCATCCTGGGGCCTCCCCTGCTCCGCAGCCCCAGCCCCGGGCCTTGAAGATGCTGCGAGCTGTGTGGGCTGTGCCTGCCCAGTGAAAGCAACGTGCAGGAGGAAGGGAAGCTGGAGACAGAGACCGTGAGCCCGGCGATAGCCAAGGGTCAAGGCCAGAAGCAGCCGGCCCGAAGGCGTGGGTATCCCCACTGGGCTGAGGCACCTGGGAGGAGTAATGAGTGAAAACCAGCCTCACCCACCACGGCTCCTCTTGGGACCTTGGGTCAAGGCACAGGCAAGTCCCACCCGCCTTTTGCCCTTGAACCCTGGCCACGTCCTTGGGCCCCCAGTCCTGGACCTCTCAGGCCTTCACGCTCATGTCACCGAGGCTTCCCAGTGGTGGCCTCCTGGGGTCCTCTCCACTGCCCTGCCCCTCATAGCCTGCCCTGAAACACACACACACACACACACACACACACACACACACACACACCCGCAGCCAGGTGACCACCTGGGGTTCGGCAGGGGCAGAATTGTCCCTCACAATTCCGCAGTTCCGGTGCTGGGGCCCTGAAGCCCAAGCCCTCCGGAGGTGACTGCATTTGGACCTAGGACCTTCAAAGGGCAGTGGAGGTAAATGGGGTCACCAGTGTGGGCTGTCATCCTGCATGACCGGGGCCCTTCAGGGAACAGACACACACAGAGGGACGCCCCTCTGCTGACACCAACTTGGGCTCCACTCAGCAGCTTCCCATCATCTCAGCCCGGCACCACGGGTCAGGTAATTTATTCAAAGAGAAATTTATTGCTCACTGTTCTGGAAGGCTGGAAGTTGATGACCAAGGCACAGCTCCCTGCTCCCAGGCTGAGCCTGCTGCTGGATCCCACTGCTGGATAGGAGGTAGCGAGCAGGAGGCCAGGTCCTCCCCGGGCCTTTATACCTCCCCAGTCCATGCAAGAGAGCAGGGTTCCCCAATTCATCTGGCAGTTTGGACCCTGCCGTGTTCTGAGCCTGCTTCCTGCGTCTATAAACTGGGAATGAGGCAGTCCCCCCACCGAGCCCCCCTGCAGTTTTACCTTCCAGGGTGTTTTTTGTTTTTTTTTTTTTTTTTGTCTTTTTTTTTTTTTTTTAATCTGTATGGGGGATCAAACTCATGAATGCCTGCTTGCAAGGCAGGCGCTTATGCTGCTGAGCTAAATCCCCAGCCCCACTTTCATGGTTTTAGCACTTCCTATTCAACAGTGATCTGAAAATATTAAAAGGAAAAAATCCAGAAATATTCCACAGGTTTCAGTGGCTTATCATCTGCAATATTGAAACGCAGTCTCTCCCCTTCCAACTTCATCCCAGAGGGATGCACATCATGCCTCTGCCCCTCGAAGCCACCCTTCGTCAGACACCTGCCCATTGGTCACTCGGCTGCCCTCTCCATCACCATGTGCACCGCCTCAGTGTCCCAGTGCTGGTACACAGGGTGAGGTCACCTGCGGCTTTGGGCATCTGTCAGGGGCCTTGCACAGACCTCTCCCAGACAAGAGGGGACCATATGGTCATGAAATCTCACACGGGGGACGTGGAAAAAAGAAGACTGCTCCCTGAAAAACCCCTGCTGTGTAACTTATCTCTTCCATTCCACTTGGCCCTGTCACCCAAAACACTCCTCTGACATGGGTGCCAATTACACCACCCCAAGTCTTCTATTTTAGAATAGACTTATGTGTCCTAAAATGTTGCAAAGATAATTTGTGTTCCTCTCAGCGTCTCCTGCTGTTGACACCCTAAGCAGGTTACATTTGTGGCAGTTAATACACCGAGGCTGCTCCTGATGCAGTCCTTTAAACTAAAGTCTACAATGCATCCACTTTTCCTTCTTTTTCACCAGTCTTTCTTTTTCTTTCCCAGGGTCCTACCTTACTGTTTAGTCCTCTTGTGACAGTTCTGGCCTGAGTTTTGTATTTTGGGACGCAACATTTGATGGGAGAAGCAGGTGAGAAAAGAGTCAGGGGATTCTCTGAGAAAGGGCCACGTTTTCTAGCACCGCACCATTTGGGTAACATGCACAGTCACTGGTGTGATACATGTGCACAGAAGAACCCCAAAAGCCTGTGTTTATTGTAGTCTCTGTTAACTGTGTGCATTTGTAACACTGTCAGGCCATGCTCTCCTTTGCACTAACAGACACACAGATATCTTTTATCTGTGTGTGTAAATGCATGTGTGTAACACTTGAAATTCACCTGCCTCGATGCCTGTCACTGTGCCCTGAGCCCTGAGACTGTTGGAACCTCTACCCCTTAAGGCGGTGAAAAGCCGCTTCCCTTTCTGAGCCCCTGAGGCACCCAGGCAGAGGAGGGGACAGCAACAGCTCGCTCAATTGCCCTCTTTCTCCCCGAGGACTTGGGCTGTGCCCAACACCCACACCACACAGGGTGGGATGAGCTGCTTCGCCCTGAGCCCAGCTGGGTGGCCTTGGGTGTGGTGATGGGGTCCTGGCTGTTCCTCTCCCACAGGGCGGGGGTACTGTGACTCCTGCTGGGAAGAGGCCAGTTCCCCAGGTTGCCTGCAAGAGTAGCATTAAAGGGACGGAGTCTCCCACTCTGCTGTGCCAGGAACACCGGGTTCCAGGACTCCGTCCATCCCGGGATCCGTGCCAGAACTCGGAAGAAGCTGAGTGGGGGACGTAACATCTATGACCCCGGAGCCTCGGAGAACTGCAGAGCCCATCTCCCCCCTTGTCCGACGCCAGCAGGGTGCAAGGCCACAGTCCTGGCTGTGTCACCCTCCCGGCTGACTTTAGTTCTCAACAATCTTTGATTTTGATGAAACATAACTGTGCAAGTCACTATTTTAAAAAATTCACACAATCAGATGAAGGGAAAATTCCACTGACAGCTGTAAAGTCCCCACCCCCTCTCAAAGGTGACAGCACCTTGTGTTTACAGCACCCGTGCAGCATGGGCCGTGCTAGATTTTACACGGAGCCAGTAAAGCAAGAATAGGGCTTGGTTCTCTGTGAGTCCCTTTTCTGAGGCACAGTACTAAGGGCCATGGCTGGGAGCTTAGGGCTCCCAGTTCTGGAGGCCCAAGGCCGAGGGGCAGCCTCTGGTGCCAGCCCCCCTGCTGCTGAGCCCAGGTCAGCGTATCATGAGGTAGGGGGCTGCAGGGTAGGTCTCTCCCAATTCCCGAAGCCACCACATCCGGTCCTGGGCACCGTCCTGGAGTCCTTGTCTCACAATCAGCACCTGGCAGAGGCCCCACTCCAAGCACCCGTGAGGGTCAGGGTGAGTCTCCACCTTGGAAGGCCTCTCGGGCAGGATTAACTTCAACATGAGCCCCTGGGGAGCCCACTCGGACTACAGTAGCTCTTCCTACTTCACAAGCCATCCTGGATCACTTGCCTTTTGTAGTTTTCGAGGGGTCAGAGTCCCTGCTAGAAATGATAGCCTCAAGTCACAATCCATGCTATATGAAGTCAGGAGAGAGTACAGCCAACCCTAGGGTGGAGGTAGGGTTGCTCATCCTGGTCCTGACAGGGTGGTGACCAAATGGGTCACATCACATTTTAACCAAAGAGCTGCAGGGTCACTCGGATGGGGGAAGCCTTCCGGGCAGGTCCTTTGACCGTTCACTCTTATTGGTGGATGTGTCAATCTCCAGATCCCATGGTGCTCTCTGGAGTCTGGTTCTGGGGTTCCTTGGGGCACCCTCAGTGCAGCACTGTGGCTCATGCATGATGAGCCAGCAAGAATTTCAGGAGAAAGCAAATGAGTGACTGGAGGCATGGGAGGAGCTGGCGCTTCAAGGACTGCTGGGGATAGCAGGCTGGGCGAGTGCAGTACTGAGCCTGGAGGCCCAGGACCCCAGCCTCTCAGGAGAACCGTGACACAGCTCACAGGAAGCTTGTCTGCCAGTCAGTACTCAGTAGAGTGTCCACATCTCCGCTTGCTGTGTGAAGACGTGAAGCCCACATGACCGGACAGGGACAGAATCACAGCTCAAGCTGTGGCCTCACTGAATAGAAATATCTCTCCTATACCAGCCTCAGCAAACAGTTCACAGACAGCACACTACTCACCTTTCCAGGACTGGGACAAAACACCCAACATCCACAGTGTAATGAGCAAAGATTTACTTTGGCTCTTGGTTGCAGAGGTTGTAGTCCATGGTAAGCTGATTTCATTGCTTCAAGTGCTTGGTGAGTTAAAACATCATGGTAGAGGGTTATGGGAGGGGACACTGTTCACCTTCCAGCAGCCAAGAAGCCAAGTGGGAAAGCGCTGGAGAGAGAGGAAGGACCAGGGATAGGAATATCCCCTTCTGGGTCATACGCCCAGTGACCTACTTGGACCAGCCAGGTTCCCCTTCCTAACAGAATATCCAGCTATGAACTCATTAGTGGGTGGATCCTCATGTGAGCCTTTGGGGGGATATTTATGATCTAAACAATGAGAAAAATAGCTATCCCTGGGACCAAGAGGAAAGAATAAACAAAATCAATAAATTGATTGATGCTTGGGAGTCAAAGTGTGGGACTGAAGATCATCACAGACTCCATCAAGTAGGCCCCGGTCACTGAGATGGGCAAGGTGGAGAGGGTTCCCATGTCAGGAAAACCAGAGTCCAAGGCCATGGCTGGAAGATGGGCCAAGCTGATTACACATGCAGGTCAAAGCTGTGGCAGAGACTTGATTAGCTCTGTGGGGCTCTGCAGAGGGGCACTGGAGACCTGGGCATGTGGCTCCAAGTCCCAAAGGTCAAGCCCTGACTCGCCTCTCACAGGGGACTCACTCACCTCTTGAAGTTGTGGTGTTCCTAACTCTGAGGCTTTTAGAGACACAGTAGGATTCTCTGAACATCTTTCCCACGTGCTGCCCCACATGCAAGGAGGC